CTGGATTCAAACCCAGACTTCGCCACTAACTAGCTGCGTGCCCTTGAGAAAGTTATTTAACCTCTCTGAGCCTCAGTTTCTGAATCTGTAAAAAGGGATAACTTGGGGCTGATGTCAGAATGAAATGAGATGATTAAAAAGGCACACAACCCATGGTAGCTGTTCTGATAGGCTCAGAGGGGGACAGCAGCCTACTCAAGGGTGCACAGCAGGCCAGCAGAGGGGTCAGTATTCAGCCTTTCTTCTGTACTCGCTGGAAAAGCAGGGACACGAGGCTGAACGGAGCTGAGACAGGAAGCACCCTCATGGGCTTAGACAGGCCAGGGTGCGGGTGGGGACCGAGAGGCCCTTCCAGCATTGTGTTCCCTTCAGCTGTGCCTCAGCCTAGGATGGGACAGGACAGCACCGTCCCCCCAAGATGCAAGTGGGTGCTCGTGCATGTGTCCATCCGCCGCACCCCACCGCCTCCTCAGCCACCTCAGTAGCCGACTCCTGACACATATCCCAGGAGCCCGCCCGGCCAGGAAGCTGTGTGGTGGGAAAAGCCTTGCCCCTCTGCACGCTCATGATTCCAGCCACAGGGTGAGAAAAACATCTTTATTGTCTGAGGAGAGGACGGAAGGCGGTAGGGGAGGGCCCTGGGGCAGGTCTCAGGGCTGTGTGCCCACTGCCCACCCCAGTAAAGGATGAACCCAGTAGCCCCCAGGTGCCCCCTCCTAACCCCAAACCCTCCGTCCCTCTCAGGGGGCTCCAGTGCAAGTTCCAGGTGGGGCCAACCCTGCCCCCTGCCTCCGGGCACCGTGCTGGTGTCAGGCCTCCAGGTGAGCCTGGGTGGGTCCGGGAGTCCGTTCTGGGGGGCAGGTCAGGAAGGGGCCGTCCCCTGGGTCTGGGCAGGTGCCGAGGGCTGGGGCTGGCTTGGAGCTGACACGGAAGGCCTCTGGGGTGGAAAATCCTGAGGGAAGGCGGGGAGGAAAGGATGGAGGATACCCGACCAATGCCTCGTCCCCTGGGGGGACTTCAGGCCTCCATTTATTCAAGGCCTTCCTCCTATTCAGGGCCTCTGGGGTTCAGGTCAAAGGTTAACACCAGGTGAGAGAGGGGATCCGAGCTCCTGCCCCCACCCCAAGAGAGGTTTCCCCAGCTCACCCGAGGATATTTTTTCCATTGATTTTTAGAGAGAGTAGAAAGGAGGGAGGGAGACAGAGAAACATCCATGTGAGAGAGACACATCGATTGGTTGCCTCCCACACGTGCCTCGACCGGGACAGGGGATCAAGCCTGCAACTGAGGTTCGTGCCCCTGACTGGAATCGCACCCAAGACCCTTCAGTCCACGGGCCTGCACGCTCAGCACTGAGCAAACCGGCGAGGGCCCAGCTCTTCTTCCACTCGGGCCCGCGAGGCTCCCAGGCTGTCAGGAGCAGGCGTCAGTGTGTAGGGGACGCGCGGGGCGGGGGGCCCACCTGTTTCTGGCAGAGGTCAAGCAGAGTGCGGACGCCCACCAGGCACCAGAGCTCGCCCAGCAGGGAGATGAGGACACCCAGCAGGTCCAGCCAGCGGCCCACCGTCAGCAGCAGCACGAAGAGGCCGCCCATGCGCACCAGCACCGTCTGGACCTGGCTCTGCAGGCCCGGGTGCTGCCGCTGCTCCTCTGTGGGACACACCGCCTGTCACCGCCCGCCTGCCGCAACCGGCACCCCAAACTGAGGTCCAGCTGGATCAGGGCTGGGCCTCCCTGCTCCCCCACACCCCCCCCCGCAAAGCAGAGAACTTTTGGCTTTGCTTCTGAAGTGATGCAACCACAATACCTTCATTTTCCCTTTCTTCAAGGTCAGAAAGATCCTGAAAGCTGTAAGTATTTGAAAGTAAAGCCCTTTGCCAGAGTCTCAATGTAGACTCCAAATGTTTTGGTATTAGAAATAAAAACTAAATTCCAACAATCCCAGCTATCCAGTTGAGGTGGTCTGCCGCTTTCAAAATCAAATAAGAACTAGCGATGAATTTACTCGATATTAAACAACTGTTTTATGAAGGACCCTTCCCACTAACTGGAGAAAATAATGGGCACCCATTCACCCAAAGCCCAGGAAA